CAACTCAGGAAATTTCTATGCTTAGAGAATATAGTACCGTTGGAACCAAAACCTACAATAAAGTGGGTAACGACAGTTCACCGGTAAAACATCAGGAAAATTGCTTCTGAGTATCTTGCTTCAACGATATCCATACAGAGTGCTGAACAAAAATCAGGATTAGTTGGAAATATTGGCGATAGTTGTTGTTACGGCCGTCCGTAGCTTCTCACGTAATTACGTACATCACGCAGCTTTTCATGTCGGTTCTTTAAAACTGACTGAATAAAAAGCTCCACTTTAGAAAGCAGTGGGAAAAGATGAATGTCATATAATGTGCCTGTTTCAGACAACTTTTGCATTTCTTTCCTTTTTCAAATTTAAAAGATCAGTAAATAAATTTTGTTTCCGGCTGGGACTTGAGAAACAACTGGGAATGAGATCCGGACACTCCTTCAGATCTGATTTAAGTGAACTGGACAGATTGTTTTTTTTTAATTGGAAATGATTTTAACAACTCTTGTAATATATCATTAGATATAACTAATTAACCTTAACTTACTACTTAATTAAAACTTTTATTGTCAATTCTAATCTTCGATAATGCTAGTCGTATTTTATTTATTTCCCTCTCCTCTTCCCTCCTAAACTAACATTAAATTTTTTTTTCGCTTTTTCCTCTTGAAAAAAACTTTAATTAAAATAATTTTACGCAATTGAAATTTTTTCAAAGTTGCACGAATTATCTGAAACAAAAAAAATTTTTTTCCATAACCAGAAGGAAATGAATATGAACTTACATTTGCACTTTTTCCTTCAATCTGTTTATTAGTTACTGGTTGATAATGATAATGATGTTTGCAAATGGAAGTGGCGAAATGTCAGTTATTTGAGAAAACGTTTGTTTATTTTTCGTTTCTTAACTGAAATGGAAAACATCAATTACAGGCTTACTAGCCATAATGGTGTAAAAAAAAAAAGAAAGAAAAAGAAAATAAAATAAAAAGAGCAAAAGATTGAAATTATATTTTGAGGCGTATTTTTTTAAAGTTGCTTTATACCTCAAATTTATCATTTTAAATGTCAATATTCTTTTTGACTATTTCGTCATTTATATCAAATGAGCAATTTTCTTTTCCATATTTCCTTTTTCTCCTTTTCTTTTTAAATAATATAATTTATTATTAAATCTGATTTGTTTTAGTCCCTCTTTCATCCTTAAACATTACGCGCAAATATGTATTCAAGACTGGGAAAAAAAATTTTTTTTTTAAGCTGTTTCTGAAGAATACATTAAAACATTTACTAAGTAAAGAAATTTTTTCATGAGACATTAATTTGCCCTTAATTTAAAACATATATACTATGTAATTCATGCAACAATTGGTGTTGTTGCTATTATTGCTATTGCCACTGTTATTGTTGTTGTTATCGTTATTGCTGTTATTGTTGTTAATGTTGATATTGCTGCTGTTGTTACTGTTATTTTTATTGTTGCTATTATTACTGTTGTTATTGTTGTTGTGGTTGTTATTGCTGCTGGTTCGAAACAGTCTGCCAGTTTGTCTGCCAATTTGCCAGTCTAGTTTGCCAGTTTTATGGACATTTTATTAACAAATCATTTTTCTGCACTTCATGAAACTGAAAATTTGAAGCTCAGAAAAATTAAATTTAAACACAGTCAAAAATTTATGAATATGTACACTACAAAGTCGTAAAAAAAGTGTAATAGCAAAAATCATAAACAATTACAACTTCTGCTATATAGAAAACCATGCAAGGTAAGGCAGAAAAAACACCACAAAAGTTTTTTTTGTGGTGATTAATGCTAAGAGGGAGGTGCATATTTTGCATTAAACCGTTTTAACAGCAAATATCACCTTTTCATCAGATGTT